TCGATAAGGAGATTATTGTAATGTCTCTGATGTCTGTACGCTTGATTTGAAGCTAGAGCCAGGATGGTTGGCTTCATTGCATTGCATGTTTTCTTATTGTGCAAATAAACCTTATTTATAGCATTTTTATTTGTTAACATTTCTTGGTGCAAGGCATTTTTCAGAACATTTTTAACAAATACTTTCAAAAAGTGGTGGCTACATGTCCCCAGAGTCCCCACTGTAAATGACCCCCCCTCCCTGCTCCCTCCCTACAGGTTGAGTTACTCTATGCTTACCGCTTCACCTCCACTTTACTCCTGCTTTCTCTCTGTCCCTGTCACTTGTTGTCAATGTTGATGCATCTAAGGGAAAAACATAGTAACAGCAAGCTACTGTACAATGTCACGGTATAATACAGTATTTTTTGTTTTGTTGCCGCCCATAACTCATCTGATCACGTCATGTTGCTTCACGTCACACCACCTCATTTAGCACGTGGTCAACTTACATAAATTAAAAAATACGAGTTTAGCATTATAGAGTAGTGATTTTAATCACTAACATGATTAGGAAGGATAATAAAGAGATGAAGAACTGAAGAAAGTTTTCACCCAGATTCTGGCCCTGGCAGCACTGAAGTGGACGAAGCAGTTCACCACCTGGTGCTTTCTTCCTTGCCTAAGTCTGCACATTCACAGATGTGAATCTGACAATAAGGTCATTCAAATTTGAATTTGATATCAAAAAAGAGCGATAGAGAGGAGGGCTTCACTGCGCTTGCTTGTGAGGTCTGAACCGAGGATAATGCATGCATATCTGAAGTTTTTTAACAATAGACACCATGGTTGAAAAAATCCAAAGTACAGTCTTAAAGGACCAATATATAATATATTTACTGTACTAAATCACAAAATAACCATGATATGTCAGATTTAGGAAACATACAAGTTGAAACACTGACTTCTATGACAACAATACTATAGCCAGTATTTCCTCTTTTGAAATTATCTAAAGTGGAATGTCCAATATGAGAGGATTACATATTGAGTGCAAATAATCTTTACTTAGCACACCTAATTTCTTTTACGCTTTCTCTGTTTTAGGCACTTCAACGGTATCAACCCCAAGAGGGGAACAAAGGCCAGCCAGGGGAGAAGACCAGGAAGCTGGTCCATAAAAAGGCACTCACAACTGTGAATCTCTATGTGGCCACCCTTATAAAAAAAAAAAACTCCTGAACTTTGAGTGAGGCTTTATGTAGTCCACAACACATCTCCACACAGGACCTCACTTTCATGGCCGTCATAGTTCAATAAAATAATTTAACTGATTATCGATACATGGACCAGGCTAGTATAGCATATTGAGAACCTGTTCAGAAATTGAGTTTTAATGAATTGTATTTTACAAAAATGTACTTATTTTAAATTGGTCATTTAATTGTTTTGATAGCAGATTGACTTTAATAAATGCCACATGTTGTAAGGCCATCTCTTGTCTCATCCATTTATATGCTAGAAATTTTGAGGTATTTTTATTTTGAAATGTAAAATGTTGAAATCATTAGCTTACAGCAGTGTTATACTGTAAACCAAACAAACAGTATTATACTGTATTGCTTATATTCAATACAGCACATTACTGTAATATTTTTTACAGTAATAAACTGTTGTTATTGATTACAGTAGTTACACTGTAAACAGTTTCATGCTGGCAACTGTAGCTGCCAGTATTTTACTGTAATTTAACAACAAAATTTGTTACAGTGAGATTATCAGTCCAGCCTTGGTTGGCTTTGCTTAACATAACTAGAAGTAGCGAGAAAAATGTTATAAAAGAACTAGTCAGAAGACAAAAGTGTTTGTTTCAAACAGCTAAATTCGAAGGCCAAGGGACTAATTGGCCTTCACAGAGAATGGGCGAGACGCTGTATTGTTTGAATATGGGTGCCATACTTATACAGTCTTTCCTGAAGACAGTCATTGTGTTGCACTCGGTTATAAGTTCAAACCCTTGGTCCTTTCTCACATTCGTCCCGCTGGACAATCACGATGTGAATGTTTCAGAAAGTCACAGAAATTGGTGTACAGGGCCCTCCCAATTCCAGCATTAGGAAGGTGGGGGGGCAGGGGGTTTCTGAGACTATTTAACCATCTGACAAGCACTTCTGATAAAGCCTGCTGGCGCCTTTAGCCTCATAAATCTGCCCAACAGCCCATCAAAATGTTTACAAATGAACATGCGGTGAGGTGTTAATTAGTTTTACTAATGACTTTTTTTAGTTTTACTCTTTAAAACCTGGTGTTAATTTGGCCTGCAGCCAAGAAATAGTTCATGTACCTCCGCTTAAAAGTACAGATTTCACAAAATGAAGGAAATTTATATGGACACATTTAGATACACATTATTTCCAATATGCGAGTCAAGTCATTTGTCTAATGAATACAGTAGTACAAGCTTGGACACATTTCATGCCTCTTGTCTCTCTACACTGCAAACTGTCCATTTAACCTGAAATGCCATGAAAAAGTTCGTGTTGAAGGGTTAAATTTGGCCTGTAGTGCCTACACTATCCATGTGTTCATGTGGTGGAGGAATAATCGGAAAATGTAGTTCCCAACTGGGAAGATTCACTTGAATGCCCCCTTAAGTCGGAACAACAACTCAGAAAGTCTGTGAAAATGTTAGCTCCTGACTTCGTATTACACAGAAACATGGCGGGCGAAAAGTGAATGCTTTTTATTAATTAACGTATTGCATATACATTTTTTTCCTATGGTATTAGGTTGTAACCATTAATTATTAGCACGAGCCCTGATAACAAGTCAGGTAAAGCAACATTTTAGTGGTTTTAAGGAATGTAGCCTTCTGATGCAGCAACAAATCTGGAACAAAGTCACTAAGCTTCAAGCTGTTTCAGCATACTTGGATAGCAAAATCACATACATAACATCACCCAGACGCTATACAAAAACGTCCACATTGTTTCCACCTTACGGCTTAAAGCTCATAAACACACCAAAGTTGGAAGATGTTCCAACTCAGGAAATCCGAGGAGCATGGGAATGCAGCATATGACAAAGTTTGTGTGTGGAGGTGAGAGAAGGTCAGCCAGGGGGTTGTATATTTAACTAACATGAATGAGAGCAATCTTACTCTGCCCTTTTCTTTTGTTGGTATTTTTTATGTGGTAGTTGGCCACTTTAAAGGAACCACTGAACGCAGCTGGGCACTGTGTTGGCCTAATGAAAGAGATGGTGGTCTTTGTAGTGAGCCCTACTGGAGGCAACAACTCATGCTAAACACAGTGCCGTATACTGTATGAATGAATAATATGTGGTCTGGTTATATGTTGTGTCAGCCAGGATCGGCCAGATGTATTTAGATAGTGATGACAGTTGTGGTTGTCGTGGCTTTTGTTGCTATTCGCATGTTTTGGTGAAGATGAAAATGCAGCGGCCTTTACCGGCAACCCAGAGCCACACCTATGGGAGAATTTGGACTAACGTGTAAGACGATGCTGTCCACCACCATCTCCATAAGATCACATGCTATAATACAAACTTATATCTTCAGATTTATTTAGTGATATCTGTGACTGTCCTTTTGTTCTGTCTGTGTTTCTTTCCATCTGCTGTACTCAGGTCTCTCTCGATCTCAGTGAGATGACTTGGCTTAAATAAAGGTGGTATGTATAAACATATTATATAATATATAGTATGATATCTTGTGGAGGAATGGTGTTCATCCCTCCACAGACTTGGCAAGGAGCCTTGAAGCTGTTCTGCAGGCTTATGGTGACTCCATACTAAGACACTTCATGTTGGTTTTTCCTTTACTTTGTCACCCATATGTATATTACAGTGTTTATGTCATGCAAATACACTTGGGAGCTACTGAAATGTAATTCAGGTAAATTAGGTAAATCAAACAAAAATATAAAGGGTCAGTTTGCCACAAATCACACAAAACACATATCTTAACGTTTGGTTAATGGTATCTACCCACTCGGCCATATCCACGGCCTTTTGAATTCTGGGTGAAGTGACACTTATTTACTCATGTAAGTCAGCAATTTAACTTAAATACAGTATCTCACAAAAGTGAGTACACCCCTCACATTTTTGTAAATATTTGATTATATCTTTTCATGTGACAACACTGAAGAAATGACACTTGGCTACTTGGGCCCAATTTGGACATTTTCAGTTAATGGTGTCCTCACTGTTGTTGCCAGCGGTTTAGACATTAATGGCTGTGTGATGTGTTATTTTGAGGGGACAGCAAATTTACACTGTTACACAAGCTGTACACTCACTACTTTACATTGTAGCAAAGTGTCATTTCTTCAGTGTTGTCACATGAAAAGATATAATCAAATATTTACAAAAATGTGAGGGGTGTATTCACTTTTGTGAAATACTGTATGTACATAACATACTTATTATAACCCAAATCATGATCATTTCCTAAACAAAACTTGTTACCATGACAACAAAGTGTGCTATTTATATGCAATCCCAGGATATTGCTTTGGTTATTTAGTGAGTAGTGAACGAGTGAATGACTGATGAGTGATTCTGGATACAGTGTATTCACACATCATATTCCCCTCAATCACTCAATCAGAAAAAACACCACAAGTGTGCGGATGCTTCAGTTTAATAGATTAAGAGACCCTGTCAATTAGAATGTGTGCATAGGGATACTACCCTATATACTGTAGGGCTGCTATATATAGCAGCTATTAAGTGATAGAGAGATGGAACCCTTGGCTGGTGATGATGGGGTGGTGGTTGTCACTCTGCTTGAACTTGCACTAAAAGTGTCATTTCCTATATACTTCCAGCATGTGTACCAATAGCAACTATAAAATGTATTATAACGTTCCATTCTGACAGAAATATGGAGGCAACTGGAAATCATTTGCATGAGTACAATGACATAACTTCTGGTATGAACTGTCACTATATACTGTAAATAAAATTGAATTACATATTTGACATCCACACATGAAATACGTTTCAGTGTTATTTTATTGTGAAAACATCAGACAGGATGAACCGCAGGTCATGCTGCTGTAGGATCGACACCACTCTTCCATACTCAGTGTTCAGTACACAGTTAATTATTCATGATTTTGGTGAGTGTGCATGAAAACGAGTACAACAGAACAGTGAGAGGCTGTAAACGAGAAATACAGACAGTTTAGGTGTGTTACCACGGTGATAGCATGGAAGTTTGGGAAGTTGTCTGAGAATAAATAAATAAATAAGTGGTGCCTGTTTGAATCTACAGTCTATGGTTTGAATGAGAGCCTTCCTCTGAGTCATTCCCACCTGGGGGAATGTGTGGACAACACAGAGTGACACACGCACACACACACACACACACGCACACACACCCACGCACAAACACTGCAGCCATTATCTAGCTGCTCCACGTGTAGATACAGCACATGAGGCACTCATGATACGCATGGTATGGTGAAAAATGCTTATGATATAAATTCAGTAACAGGCACCGCTGATTAGGACTCACACACGCAACATCCACGCTATTTGGCAGAACAGGAAGCTGCTGGAAACACTGCTGGATCTCTGCTCACTGAAGGAGGATGTACAAGATGTCAGAGCAATACAGAGACACGTGAAAGCTGGCACACTGGGGCCATGGCCACGCTTGTGTGGACAAATGTCACTATTGTGTTAGAATGTGGTAAGCCTTCCACCCCCACTAATTTATCAAAGAAGATTAATGGAAGGCATTCCTCTGGGCATATTCCTCTCACTTGCTCTGTTAAAAGCAAGATTCTATTCAAAAAACAGCCTCTTATTAAAAATCACATCATGCAACTGGATCATTTCACTTTATTGCGGCATGGATAAAATACAATCCATCATTTTTATTGGTTTTGATAACAGTGTGCTCACCAAAGTAATCGCTGAGATCTGAGAACCCGATGACATGTCTACAACAAAATCGGATGGGGTGACAAACACGAGCAGCCATATGATCACACAGGCAACAAACAAGCCAACCGATTATCAAGATCATCTAAAACCTCAATTCACAGGGAAAAAGTATGCATAGGTCAAACTTTTAGACCTAGCTTGAAAATCTTTGATTATTAATTCAGTAAGCCTTACATTGTGTTCTTGTTAGAAGAGCTCTTGGTAAGCTGTGGTAGCTGCTAGGAACAGTTAAGATTTTATATAATGATTGAACAAATGTGTAGATTTAATAGCTGTTAATCCTGTCAGTCAATTTACAACACAGTCATGTACGCATGTCATCATTTTTCCTGTCGTTACCTTCCATGACAGTAGCTAGCTATAGCTTTGTAGAAAGATGATCCCGTCTACAAAGCTTTTATTGGTTTCTCCAACTGGCTGAAAAAGCCATCAGTGGGCATATGACAAGATCTACTGGAATTGCTGAATGTGTCAGAGATGTGGCCATTTCAGAGTTTTGGAACCAAACTATTACAGATCATCTTTGACATTCAACTTTGACTATTGGCCTAGACCTAAAGTGATTGCCATATTTGTGCACACACAGCTTTTCTGTAAAAAGAGAGCTTATTAGTAACACTGCAGCAATGTCACCATGTCAGATCTCAGCGGTTGTTTTGGTGGGCACAGAGTTATCATAACTGATAGGAAAGATGGCCAAATTTGGGAAACTGTATCTTGAACAGAGCAAGTGGAAAGAAAGTGTGTCAGCGCCAACAAGTCAAAATTCTCAACAGTGAATGACAATTATTAAAACTGAGTCTGTTTTTATCGATGTTTTTGAGATCCTTTTCATTAAGAAAAAAAAGGTTCCAATGCATCCATATTGGCGTGAAGATGACCTGAGAGCCTCAGGAGCTTTTCTCTGGTCTCTAATTGTCTTGGTGCAGTCACATTTGGGCTTCTGCAGGTGCTTAACTGTATGATATCGCAGTGAGTGCATGTGACAGTGTTTGTGTTTAAGTGTCACTACTGTAGTGAGGGGTTTGTCACGTGAGAAGTGAATTTTAGGAGTGAGAATGGAGTAAAAAGAAGTAAACAAAAAATCTATGTGTTGCATTTTGTGTTCCTCAAATTAAAACTGAATTTGGTTGCGGTGGCAAAGCCAGTGTTGATACTTGTCTTGTCCTCTCCTGTTTGTTGTGGAATATCTGTTTAGAAGACCAAGAGGAAGGTTAATAGCCAAAAACATCTTCTGATATCAGAAATGTTCCTTTTTTGTGCCACAAAGTAATCGAGCAAATTCATAATCTGAACCCATATAGGCAGACAATCTTTTCACCCTTTTCCCAATCGTTTTATAATTATATTGATAACTTACAACAGCAGAGTGTGTGAAATAGCGTAGTGAGAACCATGTGGCAGACACGGTCGCTGTATTTGTGTGTCAGTATGAAGGAAGGCCCAGGGAACAGAGAGAGAAGGCGCTCTGCATCTTCTTTCAGCAGCTCTGTGTCGCTGTGAATGAAAGGCACAGAGAAACAGGAGCGCAACACAAATGTAGTGTCTCTCAGTGTGTGAGACAACCAGAGTAATAAATCGATTGGACATCAAGACAGCTCAAAAACGTCAGCAGAATGAATGACATCGTGTCTAAACTGTACAAAAATATCCTGCACTGGGACTGTAGATATGTCCGAAATGCAACAGGCAGAGAAGAAGCGGGGTAAAAAAGTTCCTGGCTTTGTTCCTCTGGGCTGATGATATGAGATATGATCATATTTTTTGTTGGAATATCTTTTCAGTACTTTTTTTTTGGTGCCAAAAAAGAACAAAAATAAAAAAACAAACAATAGAAATCTGTTTTCATTTATTCTTCAAGATAACTTCTGCCCTTTGAAGGAGTAATTTGACATTTTGGGAAATAAACTTATTTGCTTTCTTGCTGAGAGTCAAATGAGAAGACTCACTCATGTCTTTCTGTTAAATATGAAGCTACAGCTAGCAGCCTATGCTAAGCTAAGCTAAGATGGGAACACGGAAAACAGCTGACAAAAATGTATGTAATTTTAAGTAAATGTTTATTAGTGAACTTTCCATTGCTGTGCAGGCAGTAGACATATTTTTTTAGCTACATAAGCAGTGTGGCTCTTTTGGATGACATGCAGGGTGAACTTTTAAAATGTTGGCGATCCCTTAACTTTTAACACCATCATCAGATCAACATCTACATTTGTGCATATTTTGGTTTGATATTCCCATCAGTCTCATTTGTACTTAATGTTTAGTGCTAATAATACGCTAAGACTTTACCTGCTGCACATCAGCATTTTAGCATTGTCATTGTGATCATGTTAGCATGCTGGCATTAGCATTTAATTTAAAGCTCTGCTGTGCATAAGTACAACCTTACAGAGCTGCTAGCATAGCTGTAGACTTGCAGTCTAGCCAAGCAAGCTGTTTCCTCCAATTTCCAGTCTTCTGTGCTAAGCAAATGTAACCGACTACTGGCTGTAGCTCCATCTTCAACAGATATGAGAGTGGTATTGATCTTCTCATCAAATCTCCCAACTGACCTAATTCGTAATATTTACCTGCTCTGACATTACGCTTTACTGTATATAAAATGTGTTAATCTGTGCAAAAATAACAAAATAAAGATATAAGCACAAATCCCAACATCCACTTCTCGTTGAGAGAAAAACTCCCAGATATGTTTAGACACCTTCCTGTGTTCCATCCTGCAAAAAAACAAACATGTAATTCAGTCTAATAACAGACATCGTTCAAAAACATCATAAATATACCTGTTTGGTTTGACTTGAATATAAACAGTCCTACAGTATGAGACAACTGGGCAGTGAACAGGCCTCTATTTATGCAGACTGAGGAGCTAATAATAGAGACAGAGGTACACGAAATGTAGTTGTTTGTTTTTATCTGAGGCAGAATGTAAGCTGGGACCTCTCTGTGCTCGCTTGGTTCCCTGTGGGGATATTTTACCAGCTCTGTTTTCTTAAGTCAGCTGCCCTTTTCCTGCAGGGACGGTAGGGATCATCAACACTGACATGCTTCTATTTTTTTATACAGGAGGCCACTTTTGGAGTGGTGTGGGAGAGGAAAAAATAGAGCGAGGAGAAAAGAGGCCTCTGTAATGGCTTGTTTGCAACTAAGAGGTCCTTTGTGTATTGTTCGTCTTCCATTTTGGAGGTTAAATGAGCAGTTTAAGCTGAGGCTCAGACAGTGTGTTAAAGTGGAGAGGTGCTGCCCGCCCGGTGTTGCCCGCCCGTGCCTCTGCTTACAACTGCTGAGCAAGATGCTGCGTGGCATCAAGATCAGCAGGAGTGCTAATGTGCAATCTGAGTTTATGTGTATTTTGTGTGCCTGACACAGAAGGAGGCTGGGATGAGAATACAGCCATTGTTTCTGCAGGAGGACGACAGCCGGGTCTACAGGCCAGGCCGGTAGCTTTATTAGAGCCACATGTGTGTGTGGGGTGGGGGGTAAAAAAAAAACAGAAAAATAATGCTGTTCTCGCATTATAACCCACATAGGCATGTGCACACATGTACAGTAATAATACTTCAACGGCTGTAAGAGGAGGTTTGTAAAATATCCACCACAATGTATACTGAAGAAAATATCGCTCTATTTATAATCTAAGATTTCAGTTCACCCACCAGCTTCATTTTAAAGACATGGGGGTCACCACTAGACACAACTTTCTACTGAAGTGGACCTAACATTGCAGTATGAGCTATCAAGTAAATAGATACAGTTTACCTAACTATCAGATTGGAAGTAAAAAATTATGGAAAACTGTCCATCTCCTGCATTCCAAAGCTGTATATTTGCAAAATTACTTTAAAGGTGATACTCCAATTACACTTCCAAAAGGTCGGGGGACTTACAACAGACAGATTTTAAAATATATATCCTGATATCCTGACATTTGGTCTCTGGTCAAGCCTACATTTCCCATGAGACCCAATACTATCTTTAGTTAGACCGTCCCTGCCTGGTAAACACCCAGTTTGTTGTAACCAGGCTGACCCAATAATGTAATAATTTACTGAAAATGTTATAAAATTGGCAATTAACTTGATCAATAATGTAATAAAATCCAATAATGTAATGACTTGACAAATAATGTGATGACTAATGTTGTAATAACATTTATACATATGCTGATTGGTCGTCATCCATTATACCAGAGTTAAATTAGACACTATCAGAAGATGACAAAAGCCGCAGGTAAACGTTACACAAGCAAAACAGTTGATTAAATTCCCATGAAATGTTGTGTGCTGGAGTTTCTTTGCAACTTTTGACCTAAGCGTCCCACCTGTCTCACGTTATAGATGTACGAGGTAATTTTCAAGTTAGATGCACATTTTATTACATTTTCAGGAAATTATTACATTACTGGGTGCAGTGTTGTATGCGCATTGTGTACAGTATTCCGATGCTGCAATATTACATGGCCCCAGGTTTGCCATGCGGTAATTTGATTAAACACAAATTGATTAAAGAAGATGCACTATGTAAGCATAGCATCAGCTGAAAATAAGAAAGTCTTAATAAGAAGATTTTGATACTGGGTCCCTCTTCAAGACTTGTAAATGTATTACACCAAACATGTATTTATTCAGTGAATTTAATATTGTATTTCTAGTTCTTCATGTTGTAATTCTGGCCATTCTGGGAGATGAAAAGGATTTTCCCTTTTTTCACAGTAAAGGTTTGGTTGCTTTTTTGTGGAGTTTTTCCTCATGTCTGTATGTAAAGCCCTCGGAGACAAATTTGTGATATCGGGCTGTATAAATAAACAGGACGTGACTCGACAGGGCTTCAAGATCAGGTAATAAACCAAGACCTACCTAAGGCCCTAATCATCCATCCATCCATGCATTAGCTGTAGCTGCTAGCTGAGAGCAGTACAGTATGCACAAATGCATGGGAAAATTGTGATTTCTGGTTCAGTTAATTGCTACAAAGAGCATGCAGCTGTTCCAAAAAATCTCTGTCTGGAGTCGTTTCAAATTTACAGAGGTGTCAAAAAAGTCCTCTCTCTCTGTGTAATGCTTACACAACAACCTTCAATCCAATCACAGCATGATGAGTGCACTTATTAACCTTGATATTGCTTTGCATTGCTAACATGAATCACATTACAGTTTGTGAGCAGTAGCTTGTGGATGTGTAGACTGAGAGCAGCAGCTAGTTCTCATGTTGTGGTTGAGGAGTGGAGGATTCTTATTTGCTTAACAGTAATGATGTGCACCGAACACTGAGTGTGGATCTCTTCTTGGCACCAAACAACGGGAAATTGAAAATAACACATAAATCTCTGATGATCTCAGAGACAGAAGGACAAAGCCATGGGCTGAAATGGACTGTATACTCTGCAGAAATGAAAATGCTGTGATGCACTAATAATGTATCAGAGGCAAGTTGTAAAGAAAAATGACAAAGCAAAACACTTAACAACAGTTCAACTTTAAAAATGTCTTAAAATGTTCATCAGCCCAGGGGAAGTTGAAGTCTTTCTCTCTTTAATCAACAAAGCAAATTAAATAATATTTTGTTATTGCTGCTCGCAGCAATGTTTCATACGACAATATAAACAAAAATATTCATAAAGACAAAAAGTTAGTCTGAATTTACTGAAAGATGTGTTTGTTTGTCGGAGTAGGGGCTGTGTGGGTGTGGCCTTGGTTGTGTCCACCGAAGCCCTGGGCAGGGCACTGTGGGGCGGGGCAGGGCGGGGCTATGTTTCACAGGCTCTCTTTTATTTCAGCTCAAACTTTCAGCGCAGACTTTTCACTCACAGCTGCTGCACCCACACACGTAAGTCCGTCCTGTAGCTCAAAGGTGTTAAGGATGCTTGGTGTTACAGGCAATGGTTTATTAAGCGTTTCCACGCTTCACTGCTGCAGCAGAAGTCTCTGTTTTCACAGGATGTAACACGGGAGGTCCCTTCTGCCAACATCATAATGACAGACCAGTGACAACTCGTTTCGTTAAAACTGTTGGCTGAAGGCCATGTCTCCACAGTTACAGCTGTAGAGGTCTTGAGAGTGAAGTCAGTACCAATCTGTTACAGGGCGTCCTTGAGGCGGTGACGAGCCAGTTTCCCTCTAAAATGTATGAGTCGAATGAGGGCAAGGGAGATGGACGCTAAGACACCGCGCTGACAGCGCAGAGGACATGGACTGTGTTTTACAATTTGACGGAGTTTCTCTATTGATCCAGGGGTGTTGGGGAGATAAGCTTAGCTCCCACGATGCATTGGGGTCAGGGCGCGTGCGAGGCCGCTGTTTGCTTTGTAGAATCTGAAGCAGCCTAATTTGTCAGCAGTTAGTTTAAACATGTAGGGAACATTATCAGGAGAATCCCTCTTCAAGTCCGTCCTCTGAGGATATGTTCCCCTTTTAAAACACCTTGAAGACCTGCTTCACCCGCACAATTTAGTCTTTGCATGCGTTTGGTTCACTGAGCCCACGAGCACACAATACCTTTCTTTCTTTCAGCACCTGTTTATACGTCTAATTCAGACCCCACGCCTGCAAGGTAGGACAACAGTTTTTTAAAATCAAGTTTGCTTCCAAAAAATTCTGCCCATCACTCATTTTGTTGCCACTCCTTAAACAAGGCAGACATTCTCAGAGTCCCAGCCCTGTCCTCCATTAGTCCAGCCGGAGGTAGCTGGGTGTGGAGTAATTAAACATGAGGAAGTCCAACTTGTAAAGCTGGGAGAGTTGGATCTGCTGCTGAGTGCTGATATTGCTGAAGAACTGGGCCGTCATGGCATCGGTAGTACGAGTGGACTTGGCGTAGCTCGGGAAGCGCAGGGAGTCTCCAACACCCACCAGCCGCAATAAGTAGTTTGCGTCTTCTTCCAGTGACTCATACTTGCCCACCAGGTCGTAATGGATGTGACATGGGTGACAAAGCTGGTACACGGTCTGCCAGTGCTCGTTGAGTGGGCCATCGCGCTGCGTGGCCGGGTCCACCAGGTACTCAGTGAATTCTTTGAATTTAACATCAGCACCGTTGAGCAGGGCTTCATGTGTGGCGTTCTTGCGGTAGCGCCGGATGATGCGGGTGCCGAAGCGCTTGTGGAAGGACGAGTTGTACTTGAGGGTGAACTTGTTGCGGTATGCGGAGACCAGCCTCTCGAAGGGCTCGCGAACAAAGAGGAACTTGAGGTAGTTCTTGAGGCGGTGGTTGATCTCAGCAATACTGTACTGGTTCAGAGTCTTCAGGTTGGAGGGAACGTGGGCTTCACTGGATGGGATTTCCATTGGATCACTGTAGAAGAGAGGCACGTGGACAGTGAGATACAACGGTAAAACAAACAGTATGCATTCCTGTCCTTGTAATATACAGTATTTCACAAAAGTGAGTACACCCCTCACATTTCTGTAAATATCTGATTCTATCTTTTCATGTGACAACACTGAAGAAATGACACTTTGCTACAATGTAAAGTAGTGAGTGTACAGCTTGTATAACAGTGTAAATTCGCTGTCCCCTCAAAATAACACATCACACAGCCGTTAATGTCTAAACCGCTGGCAACAAAAGTGAGTACACCCCTAACTGAAAATGTCACGGCTTATACAAGCTGTCCACTTACGCAACTGCAGTCTAAAGGCCTTTTCACACGGGGAGCGATTTACGTGCCTCGTAATTCATTTTCAATGAGAGGCGAGCGTCTGGGAAGGGAGGCACGGGCATAGCAACAAGCGGGCGTGTTCCCGTGAAACTGTCGCGGTTGTGCTCGTCTCACGCACACGCCCGCCCCTGCCAAAGTCGAATTGACTTGAACTTTCTGTAGCCTATGCGACGCGTAGCACAAAAAGAAGATGGATGAGAGACTGATCCTCGCCGTCTGTGACTTCCGTCTGTGAAGTTGCCAGGACATTAACAGGAGGGCGTTTGTATGACTAGATTTATCAGCTATCTGAATATGAATAATATATATAATATAGCCTATCAACTAACGTTAGGCTACTTATAGTTTTACTTTAAGCTAGGCTATGAAGGAATACAGTGGCGCACAGAAGCCGTTGCCGTGGCTACTATCTATTGACCGCCTTCCGTTTACTCGCGGATCGCTTGTCTTGGTGTCTGTTCACATGAGAAGCGCAGAGCGACCCCACAGGACCAGGCGACTACGCAGGCGGAGTGTCGCTTCCCGTGTGAAAAGGACTTAATGATGGCAGCTTGCAGGGATGTAACTACATCATACAACACATATGATATTTGTCCTATTTGTCACTCAGAGCAATACATTTTCAAAGAGGAACTAATGTACTGTAGTACTCTAAGAACAGTCTGCCAAGTACCTTACCTGTATTTGCCCCGGCCTGTGAGCACCATCATGACGCGTTTCCAGTTGGTACAGGCCACCTTGGGGACATAGCAGTAGATGAGCTCGTGGTCCTCGTCCACCACAAGGTGTTTGAGGTCTCCGGGTGTCAGGACTCTGCGCTTACGGCTGGACGCACTGTAGACTCGACAGGCATCCACAACCTGATCCCTCCTGGCTTGGTGGAGGACGGCTGCTCCGGACAGCTCCGACTGGTCAGGGAAAGACAGAGGAGGGAGTGGGAGAGAGACAAAGGGCTTGGCAAAGGGCTTTCAGGAGGTAACTATCTTGATATGAATATTTAGAGACAGTCAGCTCTTGAGCACCTGTAATTTTAAACATTTAAATGAGTGATGTTAATGAATATTGAGCAATGCTTTTTAAGATACACGAGCAGTAGAAATAATTGCCACAGTATTATGCAATACAATGCCAATATATTACTCGATACGTTTCACAGTACATAAAAAATGTGTCATGATACATCTTAGATCTCCATACATGGAAAATATATTTCTGCAGTTTATTTTTTTCCTCTAGATTGGTTGTTGTTTATTAACACATTATTTTCACAAATCAGAGATTTGGGAGAAGATTACTTCCTTTCTCTATAGTCTCTCGTTGTCTTTACACCTTTTTCTGTATGTTCTTACTGTTTTTGTAATTTTCCTTGGCAGTGAAAGGAAAAGCTTACTGCGCCAATAAAGCACTCTAAAATGAATGAAACTGAACCAAAGCAGAAAGAGGGAGAGAGAAGAGGAGAAGTCGACGGGAAGACAGGCAGAAAGATAGCGAGAGAGAGTGTTATTAATCTCTTTCTTTATTATCGTACTCATCTCTTTATTGACTCTATCTTTTTGCACTATCTGAGTCGCTCCACAGACTATGATAGAGATTAGTCCATGGGTGTGGAGGAAAATAATTATATTGGGAGGATATTACAGATATTGAGTGTTCAATATGCGCAGATCCAGTCAGCAATCATTCATCTGAGGCGTATTTCATATTCACCATGATGCTTGTGATGAAGTGGTCCATGGCAGGAGGGAAAGGAGGAGGCTGCGGAGGAATTAAAAGAGTTTGAGGCAGAGAGAAGCCTGAGGGCTTTACATCTGACGGATAGAAATGTTTTCTTGTTATTCTGAGTCTAAATTCCCCTCCAGGGCAGAGCCCCTGGTTTCCCCACGGAATCTAAATTAATTGTACTGTGGCTGACATCTTTACCGCTCCGTCCCACTCACAACAAGTGTGGCCTTTCAGCGCTACACTGAGGCTGAGAGAAGTCCTGAAATAACTCAGGGACCCCCACCAAGCACCATACATGAAGGTCTGTAAGTATTTCTCTTTGAAGTCACTCTTCAACCATGTCTCCAAGTGGGTAATTCATCATGTGCACAGCCTGATACAAGAACATGCGAGAAAACCAATCTTTAAAACCTTTTCATCCAGTGACAACATACAAAAGCAGTCTTGAGAAACGGTCAAACACATGACCTTAGAATCAAAGATATTTCAGAATGATGTCTCTAAAAGTTATGTTTCACAGTTTGTTACTTTCTCAGTCATCTCCATTGGATATTCATGTTGGGATACAGGTCAAAGGGCGATGCTTCCCGTCTTTATTTCCTTAAAAAGTCAATAAGGTGAAGAGGCAGGGTGAAGAGTTTTTCCCAGTGTGAATTCATATTTTAACAATTATCAAACACAGAAACACTCGTATTGAGTATTGCTATAAATTTAGAATGATGGACTTTTCCCCTATTTATAGTGAGCATGGCTATGGAAAGGCTCCCAGCCAGTATCAGAGTTCAAAGCATATTCAAAGCACTTTATTGCTATATTAGGAACTCTATACTGCATACTTGGTGAAGTGAAAAAAAAAAGGATAAATACAAAAAGTGAAATGATTCAGATTGCTAAATGTATCCAACTGGCTGGATTGGTTTAACTCCTTTAACTTTTGTTTCTACTTGTTCTTTTTGTTAAGTCAGTCACAAGTTTCATGCAGGAGAGGAGTCAAGCAGGAGAAGAGCGAGAGGGAGGTCAGGTATCAGAGAGGCAGCGACAGCGTGTAGAGCCAGAATATCTTCACATCTAACTCTGTGAATTAAGCTAATTTGTTACCATGTTAACTTCAGTAGATCTTTCTGCAGTGTTACATAGACGTCTTTGACATGACTACAGAAGTGTTCTTCTGAATGTTTTAAACTAGAATCCTGGCCACATCCTACATATTGTACCTTTAAAGCATTTTGAGGGAGGTGTAAATTTACAAGGGACGATGGATTATAAACATCTCTGCTCAAGAAGAAGCCCTCATTTTGCAAACTTCCCACTTCTCCCTTTGTGTGCTCTCCACACTTCCTTAGTCAAGCTTATGCTGAACCATCAAAGCCCACTAAGGCGTAACAGCGCGTAGCAAACAGCAGCTCTTTGTTGATGAAAATCTTTTCCTTTTCTATCTGCTCAGAGACACAAGCTATGATTCACACAAATGTCGCAGCGAGCATGCGGCCCTCCATCCCAGTGGAGGACAAACGCTGTAATTAACATGGGATGAAAAGACACAAGGAGGGAATCTTGTCATCTCCTGCCTCAGTGTCGCTCTTCTTATCTCTCTTCTTTCTACAGGATTACTTTCTGCTATTTTATCTCCTCTTCAAGCAGCTCAATCAAGTCTCTTGTGCAGTTGAGAGGGAGAGAGGTGGAGGGTATGAGAGAGGCGATAAGTCGATACAGTCTGAGAGGAAGGCGTGATGGAGATCACTGACCTCTGACCATGTCAAGCTCTTCCCATGGGAGGGCAGAAAGCATTACTTGCATATTTGCTTGCAAATTACCACTTTAATCCCTTGTGGACATGAACTAGTGGGTCAGCGTGGGATAAGAGCTAGTAAAAGTCGTAAAACGACAGCTATGAAAGTAGGTAGCAGCTTTACATGATATGGTCAATTTAGCTTGATCTCTTCAGATTGGTTAGGATCCCAGAAGGACCTCAAACCTTCAACTCAGCAGTTTCCCTGTGCAGCTGCAGCTATAAGATGAATTACTTATAATTTCTGCCAATTGCGTCCATTCTCTCTGAAAAATGTCCATCAAATCTGTGAGAAAATCCAAAGGGAAGGACATGGACAGAAAATCCATTCAGCATACATTTAAACCTAATCTCACCATGAAAGTCATTATCAGCTTTGTATATGCAAATAGAAAAAAACTCTATTTCCTTATCTTCAGATGTCGGGAGGAGTTCAGAACGAGCCCATTGTACATTCACAACAACGCACTTTTCTTGTCGCTGCGCATTTGTTGTTAAAATGTGTGAGAAACTGATGACAGGGGATCGTGGAGATTGTATTTCAAAATTTCAAGTCTTCATTTCCTCATCACAGCTGGATCATTCCCACTGACAATTGTTATGAGTTTGAAATATGATCCGAGAATCAGCACAGAGTCTTCTATATGGTGGTAATGAAAAGCTTCCTCCTACTCTGCTGATGGTTGCAAAGAAAGACTGAGCAAGGAAGGAAGATAGGAAGGGATTACTGATGGAAGAAAGTAAGAAAGTAAGTGACTAACAGAACAAAGAGGGAAACTACCCTGGCACCCCGCAAACCCAAAGACCTCAAAAGCCCTATGTTCATTCATTTTAAAATGATTTTTTGCCATTTAATTTATTGATTTGTTATGTCCATTGTTAGCTACTGTGATGCTTCTTTAAATGCTTATTATTTTGACACACTTTATACCGAATAAAGTTGTGTTTGATCAAAATTACGACAATCTGAAAACCCAGGGCCGTGTAGGATTATTCCAGTATACGAATACTGGTTTGTTTCTGGCTCTCTGGTCAAATAATGGCGGTGTTATGTACACTGTTGTGACCTCTGAGACTCACTTGTGTGACCTAAACTGAACCTTATTATGAAACTGAGCCACTGAACTCAGTCTTCCACAATCCTCCAGGTATTCACACATAGGTATGAACCCCATGTCTTCTAGTATCTTTAACAAAGTCCAGTTGCCCTTGACTTTAACCTTCTTTGGGTTTTTGGGTTGAGTGAATAAAAAATGATTAACAAACGATTTATGGCGAGATTGTGTTTGATGTCCCTGTCGCGCAAGTGACGATTTTAGTGACAATTCTCTCCGGCCAATCTGCAGTGGTCTTTTAGTATCACTTGGAACCTCGGCTGCTGTGATACCAAAAAAATCACCAGGTACTATTCACAACTTTTGCCATTTGAAACCCCCAAAAAACTGTTCTAAGTGAGTTAAGTCGAGCTGTACCATTCCATGCAGTGGAAACTGGGTATTCGTCTTTTTTCCCTTCAATTAAAAATGTTATATAAAGATGTAGTGATTTGTTCATGCTACCCCATTCCTTAATGAAAAAAACAGTTTGCAAATGGAAACATTACAAAGCTACTGTGTTGCTAAACTAGTTAAACTACAAATTACAAATGTTTTATGAGGAAGGAAATGTGATCATTGCATTTGTTAGGCTTCAGTGAAGAAGAAAAATCTTCAGGGTACCTTTAATGGGTACAGGTTCCTATTTATAGAGCACTTTTCAAAAACAAGTTACAAAGTGCTTTGACAAGTGCAAAGACAATGAAACACATAAAAACAAAGGCACGATATATAAATATATATAAAATAGAAACAAATCAAATAAGATCGGGAAAGGCTCTCCTATAAAAGTATGTTTTAAGAAGGGACTTAAAAGAGTTCACTGACTCAGCCGACCTGATTTCCTCGGGCAGGCTGTTCCAGAGCCTCGGGGCCCTGACAGCAAACGCTCTGTCCCCTTTAGTTTTCAGTCAAGACTCTGGAACAGACAGCAGACCTCTGCCCGAGGATCTCAAGGTACAAAGAGGTGAGGGATCGCTGAGCCCAACAGCAAATATTTGTTCCTGGACATCTGACTGGTTAATCTAACCAATATAGAATCTGTTGAAGATAGTAACTGAAGGTTATATTGAGATACTATATATCTTCAGATATCTTCACACTTTGAATTACCATACATATGGACACAGCTCTCTGTTGATAATTTATTCCTCAGTACTTGAGAAATTGCTTTTTTAAAATACTGTTGGGGAGAAAATGAGATGCTAATGCACTGCGATTTGGAGCCCGCAGTTTCTGCAGCATCTGAATGCTTTGTTTAGAAAAGATGCCTGAAACATCTTTTCCTCTAGGAAATAATAAA